CCCGGGGGGGGGGGGACACACAGGACGGGACCGCCCCATTCCCGGGCACAATGAGCCCCTTTGAGCCGGCAAACAACCGGCAGAGCCCCCCACCCGGGGCTGTGACCCCCTGTCCCAACCCTATGTGTGTGTGTTCCCCCCCCCGGGGCTTGGCTCCAGTTTTGGGGGAGTCAGGAACGCAGGGGATGCCATCGCGGAGAGGTGAGGTGCCCCAACAGCCAGAGGGCTGACATAAAAAAGGGGTTTTTAAAATAGAACAGCGCTTTAACTGCCTTTTTTTTTTTTTTTTTTGACACTTTGCTGCAGGAATTCGCAGGCGCCGGAGCTGACACGCTGCCGTCGGTGTCGAGCCCAGCCCCGGCACAGGCTCGCTGGGGGCAAAGCCTGGGGGGTAATTTCATCTTTTCATTTCGAAAGGTCACGGCTACCTTGCGACTTGACCTCTAAAGTGGACGTAGCCCTGGGATTTCTTCTGTTTCCTCTCGCTCGTGATGCTCAGATGGGCTTTTTGAGCATCTAAAGTACAGTAGGGTCATAGGGGAATTGGGCTTGGAAGGGACGTTCATCTGCACCTATTTGCTCGTTCCAATATTGCACATGGGAAGCTTAAACTCAGGGCTACGACCGGCTATGTGTGTCCGTCCGTGTGTCTGTCTGTGTGCCCTTCACGCACCGCATGGACATCCCGCCCGTACATAAATGTGCAGGCGCGTGTCTGCGCCTGCGCTCTTTGATGCTGGAAAACAAATAGTGCTGGACCCCTTTGGGGCTGACATGACCAAACACAGAGCAGAGCATCCTTCCTAAGGCTGGAAGCAGAGGGAAAAAAAAAATATCGACTGGAAAAAAAGAGCGTGAAGGGGGCAGCCTGGGTTGTGCCCTGCTTGCTTAGTGGCCCAGCTCCAGTTTCCCAGACAGGCAACAGCACTGGAGGGGGGGGGGGGGGGTTAAACTGGGGGGACCCTGGCCCACGGGCCCCCATCTCACTCCGGTGCAGTGCCTACACTAATCAACTCTGCAACAGCAAATTTTTTTCAAATTATGCATCTTTGTTTAGATTTCTCTTCCCGTCTCTTCTCTACTTCGCTTATGTGGCAGGTTTGTGTCTTCCTGCTCTGTTGTTGCACACTACGGACACGTCCCCGCCGTCTTAAACCTTCTGGGATCCTGACAGCGGAGGCCAGGCGGGGACCCTGTCCCGCCGTGGCTCGTCCCAGCTCCGCGTGCCCTCAGGAGGCAGGTTTGGCCCCCGCACTTGATTTCCTACGCTTGCCTCTCCTCTGCGTCCCCGCTCCATAACTGCAAAAATCTTTGCCGTTTCTCCTGTCTAAATCCCCTCACTGACGTGACCAGTAGCTTAAAAACTACCATCAAGCGACACAAAAGCGGAGAAAACTCAGGCCCCGCCAATCACCTCACATCCACGTGCTTGGGGACCGAATCCCAGAGACGCGATCCCCATTTTCCTTCCCTTCAACCCAAATTCATCCTTCCTGTCGATTACTGTCATTAACGATCAGACCTTAAACAAACATTTAACGGGCATAGTTGCTGCCAAAAATAAACACAATCACAGCTCATTAAACCAAAAGCGAAGCCTACTGTGCAACTTCCTAAACTAGGGCATATTCTAGCCTGCTCTCGAATGACATACTCTTGTAGTTGGGGCTAATAATAAGATTACGGTCCTCTTCATTAGCAAGTATTTTGTTACACCAAAAATCTCGTGAATGGATATGTCTATCTTGGCAAAATGTGCGAATCCCAGCCTTTGATCTCAAACCTCCATTTAGCATCGCTGCTTTAAAAAGACAGATTTATTTTAAGGCCCCTGTGCTCATCTCCCGTGGGAAAACGTGCCAGGGAGGGAGCGCTTGCCCGGGAAGAGCTGCTGCTCGCTGGGCTTTGGCTCATTTCGGCTGCTTCCCTGCGACTGAGGTGGGGGAAGCCGGTGTCCCCCCACCCTGGTACCCATCCGAGTGCCCAACGGCTCCTTCCCCGGGATGCGAATGGAAGGATAGAGGGAGGCTGCGCCATTTCGGCTAGCAAAAGGGTGGCTGAAGCTGGGGTGTCGAGGAGGAGCGTTAGCAAAGACACTGTCGGTGCAAGAACGAATAGGTGTAATTAGTAGATCTGGGCTGGATATTCGTGGAGGTACCTTCACTCCCGGGAAAAAACCCGTTCCTTTTACACGGTTTGCAGCTTACCACCTCTAGTTAACCCCTACGCTCATGCTTTGCCTTTTGTCTGGGCACATCGCTGTTTTCCTTGGGGGGTGCGTGGAGCACATCTTTTGCTGTTTGATTGATTAGGTGACAAGAGAGAAAACAAGATTTTTTAGACAGATGCAAATCCATACAAACAGCTCGGCATTCAGCAGCTCCAGACACTTGCTGTGGAGCGCAGACGAGTGCAACAGCCAGTGTTTGCAGGGCTTAGGACAAAAAAACGTGACTTGCCTTTCACCGGCTGAATTCTTCATTTGCAATAAAGATGATGATGATACTAGTGTCTGAGCTCAGTCTCCTCTCTAAATAACATGTGTGTGCTCAGCTGGATTAAGCCAACTTCTGAGACTGGAAATCATAATAACAGTATTTTACAGGACAGCCTTTCTGGTCGTCTAATACTATTATCCTCTGGGCTGAAAAGCATTCCAGAGTACTTGGAGTGCTACGATGAATGTGAGGTTGCTTAGCCGATATACTGGCTTGTCTCAGGGAAGCACATTTTCTCATTATTTTTCAGTTTAAAGAAAAAGTTTAGAAGGAGAAATGGAAATATTAAAAATGAGAAGGATTTGGTGATGCTGCATGCCTTTCCATAAGTCTCTTGTGGTGCCTTATGCATTTTATCTTCATTTTCTAAGTGTCCCAAATAGTTATTTGAACTCCGTGATGGCCTGAGCAGAAATTCATGAGGGCTACTGAGACCAGGCACCTGATTCACGGCTCTGCTTTTCCATGCGTTTACACCACCATAACGTGGTGCCGATTCAGTTCCCGCTGACTTGACGTCTCTTCAAAATAACCAAAGTCCTTTGAGGAAAAAAGTCCTACAGAAAAAGAAAATCTTGGCTTTGGTATTGTGGTGGGTTAACCCTGGCTGGAGGCCAGGTGCCCACCAAAGCCACTCGATCACTCCCCTCCTCAGCTGGACAGGGGAGAGAAAATAGAACGAAAGGCTTGTGGGTCAAGATAAGGACAGGGAGAGATCACTCACCAATTACTGTCATGGGCAAAACAGACTCGACTTGGGGAGATTAGTTTAATTTATTACCTATCAAATCAGAGTAGGGTAATGAGAAATAAAACCAAATCTTGAAACACCTTCCCCCCACCCCTCCTTCCTTCCCGGGTTTAATTTTACTCCCAATTTTCTCCACCTCCTCCCCCCCGGCGGCGCAGGGGGACAGGAATGGGGGTTGGGGTCAGTTCATCACACGTTGTCTCTGCCGCTCCTTCCTCCTCAGGGGGACTCCGCACTCTTCCTCTGCTCCACCGTGGGGTCCCTCCCACGGGAAACAGTCCTCCATGAACTTCTCCAACGTGGGTCCTTCCCACGGGCTGCAGTTCTTCATGCACTGCTCCAGCGTGGGTCCCTTCCCCGGGCTGCAGTCCTTCAGGCACAGACTGCTCCAGCGTGGGTCCCTTCCACGGGGTCACAAGTCCTGCCAGAAAACCTGCTCCAGCATGGGCTCCTCTCTCCCCGGGCTGCAGGTGGAGATCTGCTCCCCCGTGGACCTCCCTGGGCTGCAGGGACACAGCCTGCCTCACCATGGTCTTCCCCACGGGCTGCAGGGGAATCTCTGCTCCGGTGCCTGGAGCACCTCCTGCCCTCCTGCTGCACTGACCTGGGGGGCTGCAGGGCTGCTGCTCTCACATGGTCTCACTCCTCTCTCTGGCTGCAGTTTCTGTGCCCCAGCAACTTTTTTTTCCTTCTTAAATACCTTATCCCAGAGGCACTACCACCATCACTGATGGGCTCAGCCTTGGCCAGTAGTGGGTCCATCTTGGAGCTGGCTGGCACTGGCTCTGTCAGACATGGGGGAAGCTTCTAGCAGCTTTTCTTCCTTTACCTTAAA